TGGCCCTCAGCTGCCTGGATCCTCAGGATGGAGAACAGGATGCGTGTGTAGGAGACCAGCACCAAGCAGAGGGGCCCGACTAAGATAAACACAGAAGCAGCAAAAATGACAACTTGGTTAAGGCTGGTGTCAGCACAGGCCAGCTTGAGGACAGACAGGAGTTCACAGAAGAAGTGGTTGATTTCACAAGGCCCACAGAAGGGCAGTCTCAGGATGAGAACCACATGGACCAGGGCCAGGAGGGAACCACAGACCCAGGAAGTGATGGCCTGAATAGTGCACACTCTCCAGCTCATGATGACAGAGTAATGCAGGGGGTGGCAGATCGCCACGTACCGATCATACGACATCATTACCAAGATGAGACACTCAGTGTGAGCAAAAGCCATGTATAAGAAGGTCTGCATTATGCATGGGGCAAAAGAGATAGTTCTTTTCTTGTTCAGAAGGTTTGCCAGCATCTTTGGGACATTGTTGGAAGCATATGAAATGTCCACGATGGCCAGGTGTGAAAGGAAGAAGTACATGGGGGTGTGCAGTCTAGAGTCCAGCCAGATGAGCCCCAGGATGACCCCGTTGCCCAGCAGGGTGAAGGCAAAGAACAGGGAGAAGAGCCCGAAGAGGAGCACCCGCATCTTTGGGCTGAGTGGGAATCCTAGGAGGATGAATTCCGTGACCCATGTCTGATTTCCTGTCATGCCCTGGTGACGTGTCTGTGTTGGTCACTGCTGCCTCAATGCTCTGTGTGCTGAGGAGCAAATGTATATCTGGATTCGCTATTAAACAGAGAGAGGAGGGTTTATGGCATAGACTGTGCATTATCTCAGTGAACAATCCTTTTCAGAGTCATCATGTCAAGTCCTTTAATCCACAGTAAAGCAGAAAGGGCTAGGTAGCTAGTATAAGGGAATACAGGGTATCATGTACTATTTTCATTTCTACAGAATTTTATTTAACTTTGACTGCAAAAATTTATGCTCTATCACAATGGCAGCCACAGAATAAACTGTTTTCCATAATGACTATTTCATTTTTGAGAAAGGCCCATAGCCAGATTCTCTTGTATGCTTCTCCTTTCCAATTTATTTAGTTTTCAAATTTTGTTCCTACTTCCTCTTTATCATCTGATTTGTTCTTATTTTAAAACTTGTGGGGAGGACATTGCACACAGCAGGTGCTCAATAAATGATCGCAGAGTAAATATACCGATGAATAAAATGAGAATGAAATGTACAAATGCAGCTTCAAGGAAGTATGTTTCCCTCTGCATTCTACTAGATTTAATGCTTTAGTACATGAAGTTGGCACTACGTTTTTCTTCCTGATACTATGCAGGAAAATCTGGCTGTTTTCCTTCTGTGCATGGGCAGAGTGACATCACTAGTTTGGTCACCAGTCACAGAAGTAATTTATGGTCCACGGTCAGGGCAAGGACCTCTGTAATACATTTATACTCCTGCCCCACCCCACCTTCCTGCAGGGTTGCTTCCCTGGTTCTGATAAGTAGATGCTGTTTTGGCTCATTGTATTTGGACAGTACATTTGTTGGATGGATGGATGGATGGATAAATAGATGGATGAAAGACATTACTTTAGGAAAAACATCCAGAGTATGTCTTGGAATTTAATCAAGTCTTGTGACTCTTCTTTCATTTTCTTTGGCTGTCATCCCACCAACCACATGGCCACTGGGGTGAGAGAAAGGGAAAACCTGAAATGTTCCATAGACGTATACACCTATTACAAGACTGTTCATGATATACACGACCTTTCTCGATGGGCAGTTTATGGCTCCAGGTTTGCAAATTCCAGCCCTGTCTTAAACCCAGAAATCTGCCTGCCTGTAAGCTGACCCTGTACTTCCCATTCAGTGTATTGATTTCTGGAGCCCTTCCTTCCTCCAGACCCCAGCTTCTCTAAACTACCACACTTGGCAAAAAAAACCTTTACTCACTGTGGCACTGGTCTTAGAAACAGGATTAGATTTAGAGGAAGCTGCACAGAAGTCAGGAGAGATTTTGAAGATCACAGCTGAGAATCTTGTTCCCTCTAAGAGTCTGAAAGAGGGACTTTGCAGGTGCAGGAGTTGCTCCTGTTCTCTTGACACAGGCTGATGCAGGGACTGACCTGCTCATGGTAATAAGCACCAGCAGGAGAGGTTTTATGGTGAGCTCATCTCCACCCAAGCCCTCCCAGATCATCCTTGAGTGTCCGGAGGGAGAGGGGACAGGGATATACGAGACACAGACATCATCTCTGCCAGAAGAACAAAAACTGTTTGTCTCTGTCTCCATTTCTCTGGACTCTGGGGACAGATGTTCAGAAGAAAAGGGGCTGGCAGGTGATGACTTAATATCTAGCTGGATCTATACACATGAAGGTCATAAAATAATAAGAACAAAGATACTCCTGGGACCACATTATAAATTACACTCCCCAGGGATATGGATGGTGATGAGTTCCTGGATCTCAGTCTTGCCCCAGATAGATCTGGTGGAGCTTGGAGGAGGTAGATCAACATCCTTATGAGTTAATGACTTGAAAACTGGCATTAATTTCTTTCTCCTTTCCTCCTCAGATAATTTAAGTTAGGTGTTGGTAGATTAGAAAAACACTTTCATTCCTGCCATTCTCTTCATAGCAACAGTTATCCTTTGAAAATCCAAAGCATATTATGTATCTCTTCTACTTAAAAATCTATAACACCCTCTCTTTAACAATATAAGACCAAATTCCTTTTGAAAGCTTTGAAAGAGCTAAATATCTGGCCCTTCCTCCTTCTAAGACTACATCTCTTGTTATCTTCCTCTTTGACCAATGTGTTAAACCTGTACCAGACCTAGAACAAGTTCTAGATCATATTAAACTCTTTTCAGCCTCAGGGATTTTGTACTCATTGATCCCTATGCTAGAAGTACATTCTTGGTTTAATTATCACTCATCCCCTCTTCCCCAACCACACAATGATTATCTAGCACAACAGCATATATCACAAACTAAAATTCTTATGCCTTTATATCATTTGCATATATCTAAGTATTAGTAACAATGCTACACTCTTCTCAATACATCAGAGGACACCTGACATTGACTCATCTCACCACTGGCAGTGTTTTAACCTTGATCATCTGATTATGTTGATATCTGCCAGATTTCTCCATCATAAAGTCCTAGTTTTCCCTTTGTAGTTCATTAGCATTTTGTAAGAGATATTCTGATGTTATACCAACATTTTTATCCTTATCAGAACTTTATCCACTCAATTGATGACCACTGCCTAAATCAATTACCACTATAATGGTCAACAAATGACGAGTTTCTATTTCTACCATTTCTTCTTCATTTATGAGTTGTAATTCTGCTAAATAAGAGCTTACATGATGCTCATTTATTTTACTGGTCATTTAATTGTGCATATCAGTATGGACTCATGATTCTATATTTTATTCAGCGGACTGTAATCTGTTACTTTTATTTTTTGTTTTTATTTGGCTAACAGGAGTTCCTTCAAGGTGACCGCGGTCCCCTCTAGCTACATCCCCACTTTTTTTTTTTTTAGTATTTTCTTATTTTCTGGTGTAACAGATGTTACAGGCTGATGAATGGATAAAGAAGATGTAATACACACACACACACACACACACACACACACACACACTGGACTATTACTCAGCCATAAAAAAGAATGAAATCTTGCCATTTGCAGGAACATGGATGGACCTAGAGGGTATTATGCTAAGCGAAGTAAATCAGACAGCAAAAGGCAAAACCATATGATTTCACTTATATGTGGAATATAAAAAGAAAAACAAGTTAACAAAACAAAAAGTTAAAGATACCTAAAGCAATTAGGTGGTTTCCAGAGGGGAGGAGGGTAGTTATAGTGAAACAGGCAAGGGAAAGTAAGAAGTACAAACTTCCAAATGGGTCACAACACTGAAATGTACATCATAAGGAAGATAGTCAATAATAATGTATCTTTGTAGGGTGATAAAGGTGGTCAAAGGTACAAACTTCCAGTTATAAGACAAATAAGTACTAGGGATATACTGTATTTATTACAACATGATAAATGCAATTAATCCTGCTGTATGCTATATATGAAAGTTGTTAAGAGAGTAAATCCTAAGAGTTCTCATCACAGGGAAAATATATTTTTTTTCTATTTATTTAATGTTTTACCTGTATGAAATGATGAGTATTCACTAACCTTACTGTGGTAATCATTTCATGATGTATATAAGTCAAATCATCACGCTGTCCATCTTAAACTTATTCAGTAGTGTATGTCAATTACATCTCAATAAAACTGGAAGGGAAAAAATTGTTTTCATAGGCTCTTCTTGTACATTTTAAAAAATCTTACCCTAGAATTAGCCATTTCTTCAGGAAGCCCTGTTCCTTTTAGTGGAGAAGAGCACTTAAAAACCAGGATCTGAACTCTCAGTGTGTTCACTGCCAGGGGTGTGTCAGTTCTTCTAAGCCCTCCAGGCCAGCAAATAGGAGCAGAAATGTATTTACATACTTACGTACTTACACACACCTACATGGACACATAAAACTATTTCTATATTTATGAATATATTTTAAAATGTGGTTTCACTAAAAGGTGATAAATTGTACTTCACCAAAGTTAAAAACTTCTCTTCTTTGAAAAGCGTCACTATGAAAATGAAAAGGCAAACCATAGAATTGAGTAAAATGTTCAGAATACATATCTGACAAAGGACTTCTACCTAGAATACATAAAGACCTCTTAAATTTAGTAAGAATATGAATGACCCAAATAACAAGTGGACGAAAGGTTTGAACAGATAGTTCACAAAAGATGATACAGTGTCAATAAGTACATAAAAGATGTTCAACATCATCATTCATCAAAGAAATACATATTAAAACAACGAGATACCACAGTACATCCACTGCAATGGCTAAAAATTAAAGCCTAACTGTGGTGAGGATGTTCATCAACTGGAAATTTCATATATTGCTGGTGAGAACATAAAATGGAACAACTATCCTTCAGTGTCAAATAAACCAAAATACACATTTTCACAGTGTGAAGTGTGAAATGTAAATACCTTCTAGATATTTTCCAAAGAGAATAAAATCACACAAAGACACGGACACAAGTGTTCAGAGCTGCTTTTTAAAAAACTAGGAAAAAATTAAAAAGAATCCAAATGTTAACCAACAGTTGCGTGGGTTTTTAAAAAATGATCTATCCATACAATAGAATACCATTCAATAAAAGTAAATGAACTGCTGATACATGCATTAACATGGACGAATCAAAAGCATGATGAGTGGAATTTCTTTCACCACTGGAAAAATTGAGAAGATAGTAAAAGAATTAGGAATTTAAAATTACAGGGAAAAATAAGTATGTGAAAAGCAATAAATACTTTGTTCACTTTGCTTTCAAGATGTTCACTATCGGATATTTATCATACAGCAGCAATTTATATTTTTAATCATTGCCCATTAATAGACGCAGTAAAATAGTTTTGAATCAGACATTTGGGGTTTGTATGGGCATTAAAATTGTCTTTTGTACTGTAAGTCAGAACTGTCTCCCTGTACCTGTGCCTAAGTGAAAGAAGACAAAGAGTATTTTCTATGATTGCATTTCTGTGAAATTGTGTAACAGGCAAAACTAACCTATGGTGACAGAAATCTGTAGTGGCATATCCGAGGG